ATTGTTCGTCAAAATGACAGTTGGTAGGCCATCGGTGTTTGCCTGTGGAAATCTGCCTGTGAAAATTTTCGATGCATCGAAGCAAAACATCAATATTTTCGATGCATCGATGTTTTACCGCCATCTCTATATTAATCTTGCCATTCCTAGAAAACAGCAGTAAAGCTGATGCCAGATAAAACTTTGTAGCTTTGCGTGACATTTATAAATTTGCCAGCAAAGCGCCAGACGCAAAAGGTATGCCACAATGNTTGATTCATGTGAGCCCTACGGCATCAACTGAGTTACTGAGTTACATTTTTTTTGGACAGGGAGTCTGAGTTACCGATTCACTTATAGGAATCAACTCAATAACTCAACTCTGAGTTGAGTTACCCACCTCTAAACAGCAGCTGTTGAAATAAATTTATGCAAATTGAATTGTTCATTCTTTTGCAAATATTCGAATTGAATAGACGTTTGAACGTGTTGTTCGGTGCGGTGTAAATTTAGCTCGCCTTCCGTCTCACTCGATTGCGTTATTGCTGCTCGCATATATTATCGGTGTGAAATTACTTTTTTCGCAAATTTGTTCGATAAATCTTTTCCAAGGTGAGTAAATTAACACGAAGTTGGGCATTTCCGCAAACAGAAAGGTCAGGTTATAAGAAGTATTTACTCTGAGGTAGTGCCTGTGTAAAAAAACTTATGTAAATCGGCAAAAATCTAACGGATCAAATATACGTACATATGTAATTATGAAAATCTGAATAGTTGGAATATAACTAAATCAGTGGGATTCTAGAAAGATTTCGAACAGAATGTTTTTATCTATGTACATATGTATGTATGTACTTTGCTTTTAAGCGTTCGCCTGTGTTGCTCGTCGCCGGCTCGGTTCGTTTATTCCCCTCTCCGCCACGAACCCGGCTTCGAAACCCTAGGTCAGCAAGCATCCAACTACCAGCTCGCTCTTGGGTCTCTAATTACTCTTGTTGCTAAAATTTACTAGTTCGTGTGCATATCTGCCGCGTAGGTACTCGTTTCTTCCCCGATTTGCTGATTCACTGCATATTTTAAAGGCAAATAGAGTTGAAAACTCGTTTTGATTTCAACTGTAGGTATTGAATCGGAAAGGTAACTTAAACGGAACGCTTGTTTGCAGAAATATTTACATACATAAAATGATTCAATAATAAATCAATTAATTATTGAATCACGCATACATAATATGTATTATTTTTATGTATCTACCTTCACCGGCATATTTACTTAAAATAAAGATTTCACAATCAGGCAGTAGATTGACCGGTTGAAATATTGTCAGTTACAAGACCTTAACTGTTTCTTTTTTATATTTTTTTTGCAGATGCCAAAACTTCAGAAGCCTGCCCCTCACTTCAAGGGGACTGCCGTTGTTAATGGCGCTTTCAAAGAGATCGATTTGAATGACTTCAAGGGCAAGTACTTGGTGCTGTTCTTTTACCCATTGGACTTCACCTTCGTGTGCCCCACCGAAATTATTGCTTTCTCAGATCGCGCGGCTGAGTTCCGCAATATTGGATGTGAGCTTGTAGCTTGTTCAACTGACAGCCACTTCACGCATTTAGCATGGATAAATACTGCTCGCAAGCAGGGTGGTCTTGGGGATTTGTCTATTCCCTTGTTGGCAGATAAATCCATGAAGATTGCACGTGACTACGGTGTGTTGGACGAAGATACTGGCATTCCCTTCCGTGGCCTATTCGTCATTGACAAAAGCCAAAACTTGCGCCAGATCACCATTAATGACTTGCCAGTTGGCCGCAGTGTCGATGAAACTTTGCGTTTGGTGCAGGCCTTCCAGTTCACCGACGAGCACGGTGAAGTGTGTCCAGCTAACTGGAAGCCCGGTGCGAAAACCATGATTGCTGATCCTAAGAAGTCCAAGGAGTACTTCGCCGTCGCCTCTTAAGCTAATCACGTTCGGTCCTTGTAAAACAGAAAAGCGGATTTGCTCAAAAAAATTAAAGAAAATTAACATTCAGAAATTCCACTATTGTTAGGTTAGTAACGACGCTGGAAGTTGTATGTTAAAGGAAATTACAAAAATATTTCGTTCGAATTAATATTGCAAGTCACGGATCAGCAAAACACAAATAACAAAAGCACTTAAAGTGCGCTTTAATGAGGCCCTCTTTTTTTCTATTAGATCGTAGTTCTTTACACATACATATAACTAATACACATACATATATAATACAAGCTGTAAATAGGTAC